GTCCCATATGCCTGTAGTGCTGGAAGAGGTTAGAGAGGACACTGGCTTCCCCAGAACTGTTCCAGTCGGTCTTGGACCACCGTGTGGGTGCTGGGAACAGAGCCACGGTCTAGTCCTAGCCAGTGCTCTTGCTGCTGAGCCCTGTCTTCCTCCCCTTACCTGCTTGTTCTGTAGTGATTAGTCATGTTTCCCTCCATGTAGATGTGAATGCTTTACATCTTTAGAGCCTGTTGCTAGTGTTTCTCTTCTAATAGCTGTTATCTTCCCCCCCCCCGCCCCTTTTGTGGTACTACGGATGGCTCTCGGGTCTTAGGCGTGCTAGGTAGGCACCTTCCCACAGGAACCATGTGCCCATTAGCCTAAACCCAAGCCAGTGCCTCTGAAAGGAGGACGGTGCTTAAGGTGATGAAGTAGCAAAGGCCACTTGTGGATCCCTTATATCAGAATGTTCTTAGTGAGGATTGCGGAGAACATAAGGAAAGCAAAAGTAGCCTCTTACTCACCAAGGAAAGAGTTAGGCCAAAGGTAAACCATTTCTATTTGGATGGTGTATAAATCAGAAGGACTAGACTGCTCCCAGCCGCAAAGTATACAGCATAGACACCACCAAACTGACAGGTACAGATAACTATGCTGACTATGGGGAAAAATGCCAAGTTACACCAAAGGAATCTAAAATAATTAGTAAAGATAGCTAGCATATGTGACAGACACTAGCATGTACAGAAGATTTTGAGCTTTTGATAAGTGCTATTTTAAGCCATGTAACCCCACAGATTATGTAGAGATAAAATAGGTTGCTCCAAAAGTGACAGAACTGGGATCAGAAACTAACTATAAAACCTGCCTTCTAGAGATAGAAGGTGCAAAGGGGATCAGTTTGTAAAGACAGCTTGTCAAGAGGTGAGATGGGATGATCTGAGAAAGGGTGTTAAGGGGTTAGCTTTTTACAGGGAGTTCAGAGACCTCATTCCTGAGGTGTAAACTGAGCATTGAATCACAGGAAGGCATCTCAGCAGGCATGGGGACTGCTAAACTACAGTCTACACAGCAGGGTGCAGCTTGGTGTAGCCTAGGGCAGGGGAGGGCTGGGAGCAAGTGGGATACTGAAGAGGATGAGGCTTATCATCTTGTCCTGTAGGGCTGAGGTAGTGTGAGCTCCAGATCAAGTAAAGAAACAAGGAGCATGGCCTGCTTTGAGTTGAAACATCCTTTGGCTGTTTCGTGGAGTGTGTATTACAGGAGAAAGAAACCCAAGGAATTATTTCATCTATTTGAGTGTCAGTGACTCAGGTAAAAGACAGGAGAGAGAGTGGCTTAGATTCAGTGTGCATAGTGGAGACTGAGATAGGTGAATCCATTCAGCATGTGCGGGTGTTTTCCCCCAAACTTTATTCTTCCGTTGACTGGAGATTGTTGTAGCATAAAATAACTATTTTTAAGTACATGGTATTTGAACGCTGTTTAGTACATTTGTAATACTAGGGTATCTCAGTCTCTACCACTTTCTGAGATACTGTCATTGTCCTAGATAGGGCCCAGGAAATTTCCCCGATTCACCCCAGGCACTGTGAGCCATCAGCCTCTGTCCTTACCAACTCTACATATGCCTTATTTGTGATAATACCCACTAGTATTTTTGCATCTAGCTTCTTTTACTTAGCAGATGCCTTCAAAATAGCTCATGGGGAACAGTTTTCAACAACCCATTCTTTATTCACAATTAACATTGTATTACACCTACTCCTCCACCAGCTGATTGATATTTAGGTTCTTCTTATTTTTTTGAAGAACATAATTATTTTTATGTCTTTAATGATGCAAAATGTATATGCTGACTCGATTAAATACATAGTCACATGAGACTTCTCACTCATATCCATAAATCAGCAGAGGGGATGACCTCAGTTTAATATGGAGAAGGCTATATTAATATACCCTATGTTTATTCCAATCCATTTCTCCTTGTACACTCAAAATCATGTTCAGATGTTTTGATGGTTTGAGGAGATAAATTAAGTCACAGGAGATCTGTGGTACCCAAGATCAGCCCAACTTTCATCCCGTCAGGGTTAGCATTGGGTGGCTCCTGGAAGTAGAACTTAGAAATTTCTCAAGGACTGCTCAAGACCCAGGCAGGAGGCAGCAGCCAAGAGAAGGAACACAGTAACACAGATGCCATCATCTTGCCCTACAGCCTCTGCCTCTTTTCTGAGTCATCTCAATTTTAACTGTAATAAATATTGCTACTATGAACATTCATGCAAAAGTTTTTCTGTGGCTATATATTCTTATTTATTTGGAGATGAAATAGCTGGAAATGAAGCTCATGAGCAATGTTGACACATGAAAAAGCTCTCATTCTGAAGGAAGTAAGTCACAGTTTACTCTGGAGTCAAATATTACCATGGAACAGGAATAAAGAATTGTATTACCCTTAAATTCTATGTTCCAACATGGTACAATTTTATGAAGGTTCTGTAGTGACAGAATGAAGAAAGTAGTAAGGCAAGAATTTTTTTCAATCACATCAAGGCAGGCATGGGCTGGCCATGCTGCAGAAAACTGGATTAATCTCTGCTAAGGCCTCAGATCCTATGTGACATGACCACATCTGCCTTTTGCTTTGGTCTAATTCTAGGTTTTAATTTCTTACTTAGTGAGAGGATTTTAAAATCTAATCTAATTTTCTTAATGAAATATTTTTGTTAACATTCCTAAGAGAAGATCAATACTTAATGAAACTTTTTTGTTGTAAGTGGATAATTAGGCATTAGAAAATGCTTTTGTTAACAAGCATTTACATTCATTTGGGCTCATTAGACAACCAAAGCGGGGTACATTTCTGCCATTTTTTTTCTGTGGAAGTAACTGCATGCCTACTAATTATAGGGAGAGGTGGAAGCACAGGAGAACTAAGTCAGCTTTGTAATCCTTGGAATGGTGAGCCTTGCATCCCAGTTAGGGCAATTATCCAAAATTATCCTCCTGCAATGGAGGCCTTTTGGATGATCTCATGCAACCCTACTGCAATACTTATCAATGAGAAAACATCTTTTAAAAGACACTTTTTCATTGGTTCTCTGTGAATTTTACATTGTGCATCCCAATTTCCACTCATCTCCCTGTCCCTTCATACCTGCCCGTCCATCCTTGCAACCTTCCCCACACAGAGGGGAAAAAAATCTTGGGGAAGCTGTAGTGTGTTTGACAGTATAGCCTTTTGTCCACACTCTTTGCTTTCAAATGTTTATTGCAATGAGTCTGGGATGAGGCCTCTGGCTTCTATCAGTACTGGAACCGCACTGGGCCTCCTTTTGTTGCCCTGTCACATGGAGATCCTGCAGCTTTGGATCTGCAGGACTTGCCCCTCCATGTGCTCCAGCAGTTCATTGATGGGGTATGTGTTGGGGTGGGCCAACTGAAAGCCTTAGATCTGATAGGTATCTGAGCTGGTCAGCCCTCCAGCTCTCCTATACCACCACATTGGGGCAAACTTTCCTACCCTGCTCTGTCTGGGCCATCCAGTGCTGCAGCTAGCCAGGGGCAGAGCCAGATTTCCAGTTCTCATGCCCTCAGGGCTGGCTCATCTGTGCTCATGCCATCAGGACCAGCTCTACTATGCTGTCCATACAAGGTACAGGACCTGCTCTCCCCAGTGCCACAGCAAATGAGGGGCAGGGACAGCTCTCCCACTCTCATGCCTGAAGGGCCTGTTCACCTGCAACTCCTGCAGCCAGAGCCACCTGTACCGTGTTGCCCATGTGAAGTGCAGGGGCCACCCTCCTGAGTGTTGAAGCCAGTGAGAGACAGGGACAGTTCTTCCACTATCGTGACTCCAACCTGTATAGTTGTTGAGGGATTAGAGAGGGGAGGAAGGCCCTGGTACTGCCCAGCAGGCAAAAGGCATGGCTGTCTTTCCCACATTCATGCCCTCAGGACCAGCTCACCTGCAAACCCATTCCAAGACTAGCTCTACTATGCTGCTCAGGTAAGGTGCAGGTCTCCTGCCCACTGTAAGTAGCAAGAAGCATTTTCATATCACCTCATGGCTGACAAATGGTGGGGCCAGTTCTCCCATCCTTATGCCCTTGGGCTGGCATGCTCACAGCCCCACCACTAGGGTCAGCTCCATTTAGGTCCAGGGCCTGCTCTTCTGAGTGCTGCAGCTGGTGAGGGGCAGGACCGGCTCTCCTGCTCTCATGACCCCAGGACCAGGTCTTCTGCCTGCTGCTGGTGGTGAAGGGTAAAAGAGGATGTCATCTCTCCTTTCTCCATGCCACTGCACAGAAGACAACTGGCATTGCCAATTCTCTCATACTCACACCATTGGGGTCAGCTCACTGGCAACTCCAGCAACCAGGGACAGCTCTGCTATGCCTCTTGGGAGATGTGGTCCCAACTCTCCCAAATACTGCAGCTGGCTAGGGGTGGAGACAGCTCTCCTGCTTTCATGCCCCCAGGACCAGCTTTTCCACAATGCCCATGTGAGGTGTGGGGGCAATCCTTAGACATCAACATGTCCCCTGGGGGCATACCAGTCCAGAAACATACCCCTGGCCTTTGGTGGTAACAGACCCCTGATGCTACAGGGCCACAGACTCAGACATGGCCCCTGGTGGCAGCACAGGCCGGGACCCCACCTTGGTCCCAGGTGTCATCACCAGCTACTCACATCAGGCTGTTCCTCACTACCCTCACGTCTCCAGTTCTGCCTCTCTTCATAATGCGCACATCCTCTGTTTCTCCTTTCTCTTCCATTTCTCTACCACTTACCTTTCCAGGCCTGAAAAGTGCTGGACTGGTCTTTTGGGGCTAGCTCCCTGTTCAGGCCCCATGGCATCAGGGTGGTGGTCATCTTGGCTAACTCCTCATCTGAGCCTACCTGTGTGGCCCCAGGCACGGTTTTTCTTGTCACTGGCTTGCTCCCCACCCTGAGAGCTCATCTGGGCATGCACAGTGCCATTCTGGTGGTTGCCTCAGAACTGCATTTTTCAGAGAGTGTTAGGCTACTAGTCATCGGATATTCACAGTTCAGAAATTAGCACAGGCAATGGCCTTTCTTTTCTCTGCCACCCACTAATGCACCTGCGACACTGCGGCCATACCTACAGTACCTGTAGGGGCAGGATGATTCAGATTCTTGACCCAATAGTCTGGTTCTATGACCTGCCTTAATTACTTTCCTGTTAATAGCCTCAAAAGAAAGATCTGGGATCACGAGACAGCTCTATTAGTTTTCCCAATGTGACCACATGATTAAACATCTTCTCTTTGTTTGTCTTCTACTGTGTCTTTAATTGTCAGATTAAGACAGTAACCAAGCTTAACTAGTCAGGGTGTTAGATTTGGGGCTTTTATTTTTCCCCTTAAAAATCTGGTTATACTGTGACCTGAAAAGAATTTGGGCTTGATTTAGCAATTATAATTTACACAAACACTTATAAAGCAATTTGCTATCAAGCAAATGATATAAAAAAATACAAGCACGTATAAACAATACATAAATTTACATCATCATATACATATCTTAAGATTAGGCAAAGTGTTCAAGAACTTTTAAAAAGATATTTAAAGTGAACACAAGTTTGGTGACGTAGTTCTTTTTTAGGACGTAAGCTAACAAAACCAAAAAAACAACCCACAAGTACATGAAAAAAAATCCATCATGGACATATTTAACAGTGTGCATCTTAGAAAAATAAAGAAGAAAATTTACACCTTTGTTGTTTTAAAAAGTGAGAAAGACCCAGTGAAAGGCTACAACACCAAAGGTAAGACTTGGTATATAGAATTAGATTGCTTTCATTTTCTATTTTATGAGCAGAAGGCTGAGAAATGGCTTATAACATAAAGTAGATTGTTGCCAGGCCTGGAAACCTGAGTTCAAGCCCCCAAACACACATGGTAGAGTGAAAGAATGGATGGGCGCGTGTGCGTGCATGCGCATGCGCGCGCGCACACACACACACGCACGCACACACACACACACACACACACGGGGGGGGAGGGAGAGAGAGAGAGAGAGAGAGAGAGAGACGACCATGGCATATATTTATAATTGTAAACACACACACACACACACTAAATTAATAAAAACCTTGAAGTTGTATCCAATCACTTAATCAGCAAAGAGGAAGATGCTATACTGTACTGTCTTTCTTAGTGTCAGTTTGGGGCAAAGCTTTTTTACTCTGTTATTTTATAGTAGATATAAACTGTACATTTTTTTGTGCTTGCTAGTGTAGCTGAACTGAAAAGAAAAAGATGTACAAAACAGCTGAGTTTCAACATCTTAGAAAGTAAGAACACATAATTTTGATTGTGAGTATTATAGAAGCCCCTTTCTCAAAACACTATATCCTGTGAGTACCAAAGAACTGTGGTTAAGGTCTCCTTTATCGAAGCCATAAAACATGGACCAGAAAAGCAGCATTGAACAGAGAATTCCCTTTTGGAAGGTTGTCATCTTCAGAGGGATCAAGTGAGGCTAGGAGCTGCAAGAAGCATTTTTAGATAGTCTTTAAGATCTTATGGTAAAATCGGCCATGCACGATGTGTTTTCAATCCAGAATTCACTGCTTTTAGAGGGTGGTTCTCACACTCTGTATTAGCTTGTTCAGCACACTTTATGGGAGATATGAGGGGTTCAAGATACTGTGTAGTTGAACCTCATGCATTTCTTCCTGGCTGACCCAATAAACCTAGAAACCCATAAAATCTAGGAACAAGGTACAAATAAACTTTTTTTTTTTTTAATCTTTGTTGCCAGTGGCATTCCTTAAAAGTGGTCTTCTGGCCAAAAAAGCAAAAGCAAAGAAGCCACGGGTAGCATGCAATACTATATAAACAATGTTTAAAAGAACAGATAGACCAAAGGAAAGCCATAGAAATTTACCAACAATATTTTAAAATAGATCTTAGTGAAACACACTCCCCCCATCCCCAAATCTTAGACAAGGAAATCCAGAGCCACTACTCTATACTGCCACCATTAGAAGCCTGAGAAATTTCCCTAGACTTTTAGGGATCCCAATTTAGGCCAAACCAGAATTTATGACATTGGTATTGAAGGGAATCTTAGGACTAGCCAGCATAATAAAGCAAAGTTAGAGTTAGAGTTTTTAAAGTTCTTTTAATATAAGCTGACTAAAGTTGGGGGTATCTGCTAAAGGCCTTTGCTGCTGTGTGACCACAGTCTTAGCCTTTGGGTTTTTGTTTGTTTGTTTATTTGTTTTAACTTTAATTGAAATTGATCTCTTAAAATATCTCCTTACAATGCTTTTTTTTAAAATTTTTATGCTTATTTTTTTTAAAAATTGTATTAGTCTATTTACTTTACATCCTGAGGGTGCCCCCTCCTTCCCGTCCTCCCCACTTTCCCTCCTGTCCCTTTTCCTTCTCCTTGTCCTCCCAGAAAAGGGTAATCTTCTGCCCCCTGCCTCCCATATCAACTTTCTCTATCACATCAGGACTGAGCATATCTTCATTCGCTGAGGCCAGGCAAGGCAGCCCTGCCAGGGAGAAGTTATCCAAAAGCAAGTTGTAGAGTCCATGTTAGAAACAGCCCCTCCCCCCAGTTGCCCCATATGAAGATCAAGCTGCTCATCTGCTACATGTGTGCAGGTACCTAGGTCTAGATCATGTATGCTCCTTAGTTGATGTCTCAGTCTCTAAAAGCTCCTACGGGACTGGATTAGTTGTCTCTGTTGTCTTCTTGTGCGGTTCCTGTCCTCTCTAGGTCCTTTCATCTTTCTCCCATCATTTCCACAGTAACTTCAGAGCTCCACCCCATGCTTGGCTGCAAATCCCAGCACCTGTCTCGATCAGTTGTTGGCTGGAGCCTCCCAGAGGACAGTCAAGTTAGGTTCCCATCTGAAAGCATAGCAGAGTGACATTATTAGTATCAGGGGCTGGCTCTCTACCATGGGGTGGGTCTCAGGTTGGACCAATTATTGCTTGGAATTTCCCTCTATTATTTGTTTCCTCCTTATCTCTACACTTCTTGTAGGCAGGGTAAGTTTTGGATCACAGGTCTTGTCAGCGGGTTACTGAAGCCCTCCTTTTCCCCATCCAGCCTGGCTAGGAGGTGGTCACTTCAGTTTTCTTGTTCGCCCTGTTAGGATTCGCTACTAGAATCACACCCATGTCCTCCCAGGAGCCTATGCGGTAGCAGGCCTCCAGTTTGAAAGAGAGATGGCCCTCCCCAGTTTCCCTTCTTTTTCCCAGCCCTCTCAACTCCCACCTGCGTTCCACTCACATTTGATACCCACTCTTGTTTTACTTCCCATCCCATCTCCTGCCCAGCTCCCTCTCTTCATCCACTTCTGCTGTCTATTCTATTCCCCCTTCTGAGTGACATTCTGGTACCCTCCCTTGGGACTTCTTTAAAGTCCTTACCCACCAGAGAGATGCAGATCAAAATGAATCTATGATTCCATCTTACACCAGACAGAATAGCTAAGATCAAAAACTCAAGTAACAACACATGCTAGAGAGGATATGAAGAAAGGGGAACCCTCCTCCATTGCTGATCAGAATGCAAACTTGTTTAACCCCTCTGGAAATCAATCTGATGCCTTCTTAGAAAACTGGGAATAGTTCTACCTCAAGACCCAGCTTTACAACTCCTGGGCATAAGAAGCCAACGCATAAGATGCTCCACCATACAACAAGGATATTTGCTCAACCATGTTCATAGTGGCTTTATTAATAATAGCCAGGAACTGGAAACAGCCTAGATGTCCCTCAACCAAAGAATGAATACAGAAATTGTGGTACATTTACACAACGGAATACTACTCAGCTATTAAAAAAAGAAAGAAAGAAATCACGAAATTTGCAGGCAGATGGATGGAGCTAGAAAAGATCAGCCTAAGTGAGGTAACCCACACCCAGAAAGACACACACGGTATGTATTCTCTTATAAGTGTATATTAGGCCCATATATAGTACAGGATAATCATACTACAATCCACTGACCCAAAGAAGCTAAGTAGCCTTTGTTTTGATGGAAGCCAGGGTCTGCTCATATATTCACCCAACAGTCACAAGGATGCTAGGTCCCAGGCAGAGGCAGGTAATAAGATGGTCCGAGATAATCAGCCCTCCTTCGTCATTCAAGTGCTCTTCAGTCAGCCAGTAAGATACAATAAGGAAAGTCTACTGGGAATTTCCATTCACAGAAATAAAAACCTAGGACATTTTGAAGAATTGTACCTACTAAGTCACTTATTGTGCCAAAAACATTTGCTGTCCCCGCCAGCGATATATGAGAGTTTGACTGCTGCCACATCCTACAGTAACACTTGTCTGAGGCTTTTTTGTTAGATTCCTGGTGAGTGTGATGTTCCCTCCCCTGGCAGTTTTGATTTCCATTTCATTTGTGACTAACGTCACTGCACACCTTTCCACTTGCCTGCCAGCCATTTGTAAACCTGACTTGACATGATATTAAAATTCTTTACCCATTTTAAAATTGGATTTTAAAAATCCCTATTTAAAATTGGATTCCTCTTTTTTTTTTTTTTTTGACTTGTAAGAATTCTTTCTGTATTCTGCATTTTTCTCTATTCTCGTTTGACAAGGAATGGCAAATATTTTCTCCCATCTTGCAAGTTGTAATCTCATTTTCCTTTGCTATACTTTGAAGCACAAGACACATAAGGATATCTTTTGAAGCACAAAAGTTTAATTTAGATGAAATCCAATGTATCTATGTTTTGATTCTTTGAATATTTTATCTAAGAAGCAGCTGCTGAATTTAAGAAGACAGATTCTCTTCCAAGCATTTCTTCTAAGAGTTTTATAATTTCAGTCTTTATGTTTAGATCTTTGATTAATTTTGAATTAATCACTACACACACACACACACACACACACACACACACACACACACACACCTTACAAAGTCATTTGTGATTCCATTGCCTTGCTTGTGTTTTGAAATTATACTAGCACCATTTACAAGAAACACTGTTTTTTTTTCCCCACTGAGTGATGTTGGCTCCTTCCCAGAAGTCAGTGGGACAAAGATAGATGGGCTGGTTTCCAGTTCCTCAATTCCATTTACTGAATTCCATATGTATGTATACTTATATATGTGATAGATACATATGTAACATGTATAT